GAACAGCCCGGACAGCAAAGGTGTCAGGCAGGGTTGCTGTTTGTGTGTATCCACGCGCCCTGCTCTCCAGAACGTGCGGAGGCAAAGCGGAAAGTGGGACAGAAAGCCAAATGGGGGTCAGGTCTAGGAGCACCCTGAGTATTATACCGAGGAGTTTGGAATGTGTTCTGTATGGAAACAGGCAGGTGCAACTTTGGGTCAGGGAATGATGATACAGGGAGGTTGTATTGGAAGAAGATAATTCTGGAGGAGAAAGTAGAAGCAGAGGGAGAATGTTTAGACAGCGCCATTGGACTAGTCTAAGAAATGACAGCAACCTGAATAGGAGAAAGAAGCAGAGAGACAGCGGAGTTCAGTGGGTGGGGAGGATCAGCAAGAGTAAAAGGAAAATTGACGCCGGAGGGGCGGGGGGTGCGGGAAGGGAAATAAATGTGATCCCAAGTTTTCTATTTTGGGTGTTTCAAAGGATAGCATTCCCTTAACTGAGAAAGGAAATAGGGAAGCCAGAAATGCATTGACAGGTAGGAAGATGATAAATTTAGCTTGGGTCACGTTGGAACTGACTGAGGTGGCAATTAGACGAGTGTGGGGAGATCCTGTTACTCTGTTGCTAATAAAAGTTTGGTGCTTGGCCAGAGGGATCACAGCTGCAGGTGTAGATTTGGGAGTGAGTTTCGCTGAGGTGGTGGAGTCAATGAGTAAACTCAAGAAATGTCAGGCAAGGAAAAGCAGAACGAAACTCGTGACATTTTTTACAATTAAGAAGTTGGCAGAAAGGAAAAGCTTGAAAATGAGGAAAACAGGAGCTAATGACGGAGAGCTGAGGTCTGGGAAACACTGACAGGCAGAGGAGACTGGTTCCCTTCCTCGAGTTTTAAATGATTTTGGTTAACGTGCCCAGCCATCCACGTTTTCCCACCTGGAATATACACCCCACAAGGGGGTGGATTTAGAAGGCAGTGACCAGGAAAGTACTTTGGTAAATAAATCACTGCACACGCTGCAAGTCCAAGGTCTATACTGAATGTCAGAGAAGTGAAGAAAGCGGAGACTTCCAAGACGGGAGAGAGTAGTGTCAGGTGCTACAGAGTTTCAAAAGAATGTTTATTTTTAGCTCAACTCATTTGCTGAGTGCAATTTAAGGTAGTTGAGTCAGAGCGAATCTGTCCTTTGATCACTTAGATGGAACGGTAGTTCCCGAGGTATGGTGTGTCCCAGGCCGTGCAGGAGGTAGTTTGGGATTTGACAGAGGCAGTGAGCAGGACCAAAGCACGTGGCGATAAAGCCATTCTCCATTTGTTTCTCTTTTCGTCCTTCTGAGTTATGTCGTTGGGGACAGGCTCAGTCGGGGCAAATGAGTCTGTAACACCTAACAGTAACTGGCTGGAATTTAACAACATCAAGTTAACTTTAAGATTACTGTCTATCGTACCACCTTAATTTGGCCAGGGATACCCATTTTCTAGGTAGTGATAGCAAGTTTCCTTTTTATAAAAAATGTTTTAAACAGAAAGGCAATTTTGAATATATGAAGTACGTGGTCATACAGGTGACCTATGTGTAAATATGGCAAAACTGAGAAAGTGGTGTTCCAGTGATGGATGTTTGGAAAATGTGGACTCACGAGAGCCCTTCCTCCTTCCGTTGCATGGAGTGGCTGCCTTTGTTCGCCCAGGTTGGACCATGTAGGAACTATGTTCTGGGTGTGCGTGTGTGTGTTGGGGGGACTGTTGGGGGTACCTTAGGCTCTAGACTTCCAGATCCAGACTCTGTCTTTCCCCTAAGATGTGGATGAGCCCATTTTAAGGTTTTATTTATTTATTTTTAGAGAGAGGGAGAAAGAGAGGAAGAGAAACATCAATGTGTGGTTGCCTCTCACATACCCCACAGTGAGGAGCTGGCCCACAACCCAGGCATGTGTCCTGACTGGGAATTGAACCAGTGACTCTTTGGTTTGCAGCCTGCACTCAATCCACTGAGCTATACCAGCCAGGGCTGGCTGGGTCTGTTTTTGAAGCCACTAGAATTTTGTGAATTGTTGTGTCCTTAGGTCTTACAACAAGAACATTGGCTTGAATTGACCACTAGCATTCCCTTGAGAAATGAATTCTATGATCCCGTGAGTTATTGGTAAATAAGCCTAAGCTTTCAAACTGATAGAAGTTAGAGAAAATGTGTTTCCTCTGGAAGCCATCAACTCCACGTGTCAATGCCAGAGACTGTTCCCAGACCCACGTCCCCAGAAAGAAAAGTGTCGGCGAGTTCATGCTCCAACCATGATTCACATTCACCTCACTGGCGGTGCGCAGTTATTTCAAACAGAAATCTCTGCTTTGGCTAGGGCAATTGACTAGAATTGAAAATGAAATTATACATGAAAATTTGGTTCAGTGCTGTGAGCCGAACGCTTTCTGCCAACTCCCCAGTCTCAGATCAGTTCCCGAGTTTCCTCACAGGCCCGGCTAATCAATTCACAAAGCCTGTGGATTGTGTTCTCAGTGTAACGACTCATAGGTCACGAGTCCTCGTATGTAAAAAGACATCTTCACTCATCTAGTTACTAATGTCTTTCCATCTTTAAATTTTTTTCCCTCTGAGAGAGGGCAGGTGAAGGATTTTCCAAGTGACTGAAAGTTCTTCTAAGTATTATTGTGAATTAATGTTGCTCTACCTCCTAAGTTGCTCTTAAAAATAGGAGCACGCCACCTGTGTGGAATATAACAGTGTGGCAAATTCCACCATCGAAATCATAGCCAAGAATCGGGCATAAGTGAAAAATGGATATAGTATAGGGGTAGGGGAAAAACAACACACACAGTCTGTGGATCTGAAAATTCTGAGTTTATCACTTTTTAAAAGTTTTCACACAAACAGTTTCTTCTCTCTGAGAAGATAGGATTTGGGGGGGCTACATCAGTGTTGCTGTTTGCTCTAACAGGGAGGATCATGCACAAACAACTTGGCCATTGTGATTCTGTTTTCACATCTGAAAAAAGGGATAATAATACAAGCCAGTGTTCAGACCAAAAGGATGTTTTTATGTAAAATCCTCAGGGATGCAGTGGAGACATCCCAGGACCCTCAACAAGTGTTCATGCCCAACATCATAAAAACACCATCTGAATAATTGAGATGAAACATGCACTTGGTTTTGGAAGATGATCTTTCACTGCCCTTTAGAGCCTCTCTCTTTCTCCTGGTCTCTGCACAGCACTGGACTTCATGTCCTGATGTGCTTACAGATGAGAAGAGCAAATGAGCAGGTGCAGAGGACACCGGGGGGGGGGGAGACAAAGAAATGGAATAAAATAGACCTAATTTAAAAACAATGGCGATCTGGGCTATTTGGCAGGGAGCAGGGGGTGGGCATTGGGGAATAGCCCCTTATAACCTCCGCAGTCACATAGGGCTTTTCTGTACCACAGCAAGATGTAACAAAAGGTATTCCAAAGGACGACCTTGATTTATCATGGCTAAATTACATGATATATACTTCGCTTATGTTATAAAACCTACAGTGTGCATCTCAGAAGAATTCCAATATGAAAAGAACAAAATTTGAAGTCGGTATCTTTTGTGGGCGTGCACTTTTCCGGATAAGTCCTTAGCCATCCAGAACACTTAGCCGTGGAAATGAACTCAGTCTCCAGGGGTCCCACACGAGGATGGTTTCCCTGAAGTGGCTCTTGTATGTCCCCACAAATAGCCCACAGAGTCTGTGGAAGAAGATTGGCATTTCTAATTAGTAAGTTTAAAAGATGTTTATGCAGACAGCCTTTTCTTGATGTGTCAAGAAAGTGCATTTGACAGAAAGGACTTGTGGACTTCAGCATTGTCAACTCTCTCCCATTCTCCTCCCCAGGACCTGGGTTGGGGCAGTTCACCCAAGCAGGACCCAGGGGCTGGTACCCATGGGTGTCACCCTGCGTCTCATGGTATCACCTGTGATTTTCTGGGCAAAACATTTGCATTGAGCCTGGCTTATACGTGAGAACAAAAGCCCTTTCTAAGTTACACCCATAAGAACAGCACAAACATAATTCAGGACAAACTCAAGTGATAACCCCACTGTGTACTGACTCAGTACCACAAATACTGAGCTCAGTGAATGTAAAAAGAAGTCAAGCTGTGGGCAACTGCAGACACCACAGAGAGAGCATATAGAATCCAGCACCCTCAGAGGTCAGCCAGGCAAATACCAGGGCTGGATTTTTCAAAGAACCAGATAATGCCAGGTTTATGGCTACTAATAACATTTTAGTTATATAAACAAAGATAAGAGTAATAAAAAATGAATTCTGCTTCTCGGCGTAATCTGATTGCCAACAGGGTTCAGAAATGAGCTTTCTCACTGTGCACGTGGCATTGTGTAATGGACCAGTGGTCGCTCTGCAGCCCCCTCCCCAACCGCCCATTTCCCTTTTATGGACACTCCTTAGTTCTGCCAGATCCATAAGCGATTCCAGGGAGGCAGGTTAAAGCCCTTTGATTGTGCCTCTGGTAGTTAATGCACCAAATGGTCTTTAGGGGCATTTCATATGCTCTGCAGCTAATCAGAGCGCCTTGGCCCGGTGATTTCCTACCTCTGTGTTTTCCACATGTTTAAGGGCTCAGTTCAAACACCAGGCCCAGCGGCTTCTGGGGAGGCATGGCCCAGCTCAGTTTGGAGTGGGGTGCCTGCTTCGAACAGAGATTTTCCAAAGGATATCCTGTAGTAGATAAACCATGTCATTAGGCCAGGTTCCCTCTCCCACCCAGGAAGCAGAGTGCCTGCCGTGTAGGAAGGCTCCGATAAAGTTGTTATGGCTGTGCTCGGAGCACTCGTAAATATTGTCTGTCATCAGCATCTCTTATACAGGTTCCATCGAGATTGTCTTGAAACACTGACAGGTTAATTATGTGTCTTAAAGCTTTGTCGGTTGAGAGCTGATGGGAGAGTTGCAGAATGAGTCCTTCCCATGCTACAATGACAACTGTTTTCTTCCGAATGTCTCCCCTAGTTGATCACTCCTCATGCCATCCGGGTGCAGACACCTCCTCGGCACATCCCCGGCGTGGTGGAAGTCACATTGTCCTACAAGTCCAAACAGTTCTGCAAAGGGACTCCGGGAAGATTCATTTACACAGGTAAGACCCCTGCAGGTGGTGAAGGCAGAGCTGGCTTGGCCTTGGGCGTCTGTGACTTGGTCTCATATGCATAAGTGTGTATTTTATGTTTAAATCTAGTTTCTGTTGAGACCTGCTTTCTGTCTCTATTTCACCATTTATATGACCAAATGAGTTGCTGCTATTATTATTATTATTATTATTACTATTATTACTACTCATCTGGTTGCATTTTTTGAATGATAGGATCTGTCCAAATAATTGGTTGGATTGCTGAAGAAGCAGCATGAGAAATAATGGAAGGGGAAGGGGCCCTAGACAATCTTGAGTCTCTCTGTATTTGTTTGCTTTATAGAGTTACGGATGTGTTTTAATGAACAGTATGGCTTTCTTCCAACCTGGTCATAGCTTTTGTGTTATGGACAATTGGTAGTTTTCATATTTAATTCTGGGTTGGTGCTGTCTCCCCCGGTAAGCTGCAGTTAGCACATGGACCTGCCTGTGGTAGGAAGCCAGGGTCACAGGGTGAATGTGAGTTCCCTCCCACGGATGGAGAGAGCAGGCAGGTTCTCTGTGGAAACACATCAAGTTCATGGTCCGAGTGTTTAATATTTACTTTAGGAGATTTTCAGATTGTAATACGCCAACCAAATACCCAGGGATCTATTTACAGTGCAGATTTAGATTCAGTAGCTCTAAGTGGGACCCAAGAAACTGCATTTCTAACCAGCTGCTAGGTGAGGCTGCGTCTGGTCCAAGGACCTCAGTGGGACTGCTGATGTTCTAGGCCCTCTGCTTGGTAGCCGTCATCCCTGCAAAGTGCGTCTCCAGGAACGGGTCCCACGTTTCCATCTTCATTCAGTAAAGGACCGGTACAGTGAAGATAAGTCTGTTAACATGTCCTACTTATAACCATACAATTCGGTAGAACAAATCTTATTGTGCTGTGACATTTTACCTCAAAGCATCTTCCCTTTTGAATTTTAATACTAGGAACAAAACCAGCCATGCTTTTTAGTCTCTCTTTCTCTCAAAATGATAAAAACAATTAATGCATCCTGACCCTTGGAAATGCCTCCCAGCCCTTTAAACAAAATGCAGGTTTGGTGCCTGCTTGACGATTAGTTTTAGTTAATTGAAAATTATAGGATTGACCCAAGAGGAAAATTTTGTTTGCACTCCAATCACTTTTACAAATTAAGGAAAATTACCACAATTTTGTTTAGCTAAGGTTTCACACTGAGTTCAAGAAATTAGCTCAGCCATCTCCACAAAGTCAGCACTTTGTTAGTGAGCACTTGAAAAAATAATAGTCTATCTGGACTTGTGTGGTGTATACAAACCAACCATAGAGAAAGCTATGATGCTTTATAGAAGTAGGCCAAGTGTTTTTAATTAGGCTCATTGGTTCAGCGTAAGTTTTGAAGAACAATCAAACTAGCAGATTAGCTGTTTCTTTTAAAGCTAGGATTTCTTGCCATTCATTTTTCCCATGAGAACTTTCACATAGCACTTATTTTTTTTTTTTACAAGCCTCATTATAGGCCTGCAGGAAAAGGACCAATTGAAACTTCTGATACTGTAACATTTCCCCCTCCATCATTCCGAGGGATGGGAGTTTTTCACAATGTTCCTCGCTGAACTTGGTGTTCTGGAACATATTACAAAACCACGGAGGCCAAATGTTTTCTCTGAGGAGTTTGGACTCTGTTTTTGGCTGAAAACATTTAGGCCTTGCTGGCTGCTTATTTACTCTGCTATTAAGAACAAGAAAAGGAGAAGAAAAAGAAGAAGAAAATGTTGTGGGGTGGGAGGTGCGCGAGGCAATCAGGCATGATTCCGCCTTGGTGACAACGTCCCTGCCCATTAATGGTTCCATTTTGTGGTTAGGTCTCATTTAGAAGAAATTATTTTTAATCAGTGTTCAACAAAATACCCCCTCGAGCCACCTGGCCATAAAAGTTTTTTTTTTTTTTAAATCATCCCCATTAAATTACTTAACTTCTCAAAAGAAAATAGCTTGGGACCCGTCATTATTTGGAATTTTTTTTAACCATTAAAAAAATTGCCATCAATTTAAAAATCACATCTCAGAAAACCTGCAGCATAAGGGAATTAAGATCGAAGGTAAATGTGGCGATCTGCAAATCTAGCAGAGTAGTTGAGAATAAGAAATTTCTGGTGTGCATGCACACTTGTAAGTGTGCAGGAAATTTATGGGAAAAAAACACTTCTCCTGACTTGTCCTCAGACTGGGCCACAGACTAGAAGAGTTGGTTTTTGAGTATTCTAGGAGACAGTCTAACCTCTCTCCCTGTGTTGAAAAAAGAAAAATGTGAAGGGGGAGGGATTAGTCCAAGAACTTGTCTGAGTGACCCGTGAACATGGACATGGTGTGGGGATTGATTGTGGGTGCGGGGTGGGGGGGTGGGCTGGGTTGGGGACATGAAGGGGAATATTGGGACAGCTGTAACAGAATGAACAAGAATTTAAAAAAAGAAAAATTTGAAGAAATTGGCATAAAAACTTCCCCACTGATGTAGTTGGCTGTTACCAGTCCCAGTGACATGACATCATTCTAGCAAAAGGGAATCTCTGTCCCATGGCGAACGGCACATGGGACTCTTGATCATTAGCATTAAATGCCCCCACCGAGGGTCGCTTGCTGGTGGCTGGTGCCACTGCCAGCTCCTGTGAGTCACGCAGTGCACCTCTCTGCTGGTCACCGGTTACTAGCGAAGGCATCGGGTTGGGTTGTAAATGGCAGGTGGGCATCCCCCCTCCCCTGTCCACCCACAGAAGCTCACACTTCATTTTCTTCAACATCCACAGCATTTCAAGATGTGAGGGGTGGTTGTCTGGAAGGGGAGCCAGGCCTCTTGTTTCTTAATGGAATGTCACTTGGAATTTTTCTCTTTAAAAGAAAGAAAGAAAGATCCTCAGACTGAAAAAAAAAAAGCAGTCCAAACTAAGGCAATGTTGCTGCTTTCTGCATGTGTGTGAGAGGGTGGTAGGTGGGTATAGGTGGAAGTCTCTAAAAATCCATAATTGTAAAGAAAAAAACGAACCAGCCAACAATAACCGAGCCAGGAACAGCATGCCCTAATCTATGCAAATAAAAGCAGACTTTTGGGGGAGGGAGGGGGGAATTCGACTGAACACAGATTTGCCTGCAAGCTGGCCCCACTTGTGAGGACTGTGAACGCAGCTCTCTGTCCTCGCTTCTCAGACCAGGGACATGTTGGGAATGCCTAGGCGCCAGATGTGCGGGTCTCTGGTGTCTGCCCCACCAGAGCAGGGAGCAGAGTGAGTCCCAGCTTATTAGATCACAAAGTTCAACAGCACTGCCGGGATCTTATTTACTGTGGCCGGTTATTCTTACGGCAACCCAGGGCAAGGCAACTTTAAATTCTAAATGTTTTCTAATACAAGGAAACAAACACCCTTTCCGAGATGTCTGGACCGTTTTCAAAGCCCTATAATTGGCTTTCTGGGCTGTCAGTCCGGGAGGAAGCAAACCCACCATAAACCCTTGGTGCTGTGCAAGGGGGTCTCCATAGCACCTTTGTTATTCCCCCCAGCTTGCTTTCCTGCGACTGTGACCTCTTTAAGAGCCACGGATCTTTTAGAATTGTAATCTCTCCTGCTAAGTGTTAAGCAATCTTTGGAGCTGATAAAAGACTCTTAGGAGGCATTAGCTGCCTCTTCAAAGTTCTTAGAATTGGTTTTCCTGTTAAGCAGGGGCCAAATCCAAAACGCAGCCTTTACTTCATTCTAGTTGTTCCTCCAGCGGAGAGGCTGCTACCTTCAGGGAAAATATAACCAGACAAATGGGCCGCCAGGATGACGTTTGTCCAGCTTAGGTGTGCACGGAGAGCCGTATGCTGCCTGCGCCCCCTGAAGCTGGAGAGGGTCCCAAGGGATGGCCATCTGATGGCTTGGATGTTTGCTGAGGTCACTTTGGGTCATGTCAGCCTCCAGGTCCCCCCCCATTCTAAACACTGTTCACCAAGCTTACTGTCCCCATAGAAGGACTAAACCAAATCCCTGTATATTAGTCTCAGAATTAACTTTGAAGATAACCCTTCCTGGAAATACTTCCTATTTGTACCTCATGCCCAAGATAACTTTGCACATCTTAGGGGCCGTTTTAGCTGAATCTTCTGTGAAACCTGAAGAGAAGCACCAGTCTTTCAAGGATTCCTTTTTTCCCCCCTTTTCTCTGTTTGCATTTTCCCCTCCCTCCTGTCCTCCCCTCTTCTTTCCCCTGTTTTATTACCTGCCTCCACACCCCATTCTTTCCTTCCTCACTTCCAAGGAGACGGCGTAGCCTAGTGATGGATCCTTGGGTTCAAGAGATGGCACGTGGAGGTCCAAGTCTCAGCAGTACTGCTTACTAGAGAGGTTATTTGGGGGATAGTGGGTGACGGCTCCGAACCGCAGTTGCCTCATCTTTACAAGGGAATAATGCCTCGCTGGGGTTGCTTTTAGTATCAGGGAAATGTATGTAAAGCATCTCACATGAGCATCTAGACAGATATTGGTAATCTGCATTAATAACTGATGGCCATTCTTATTTACTTATTCATTTGTTGCCAAGTCCCTACCATGGTATAAATATTTTACATATATTGTTTATCTCTTCTAGCATTTCCCTAGGCATCTGAGAAATATCCTTTAGGAATTTTAGTAATGAAACTGCAGCCATCAGTAAATTTTTTAAAAAGTTAACCCCAAACCAAAACAAAAAGAGCAAAGTATCGATAAGGTAGAAAGCAAAAGATTTATAAATGTGAATGCAATAATTTTGATATATCCGATATGTTCTCAGGAATGGCCTTAAATAATAAATATTATAACAAGGTAGCCAATTCGTCAAGTTCTCTGGTCTTGATTTTTCAGAAACAACATACGTCTCTTCTAGTTTTCATCCCAAATTCCAACCACACTTCTGGAGATCTTAGCAACATGATCCATTCAGTCTGTACCCAGCTTCCTTAAAGGTTTTTGAGTTATAATCA